ACGTACGTACGTACGTACGTACGTACGTACGTACTACGTAACTAACGTTACTTAACTTACTTACTTACTTACGTACTACTACTACTCTCTCTACTCTCTCTCTCTCTCTCTCTCTCTCTCTCTCTCTCTCTCTCTCTCTCTCTCTCTCTCTCTCTGTTGGGGGAGCAAAAATTTCAAAAAGTCATTAAGAAAGGTGTTTCATACTTTATATACAGGGACCATACTGATGATATCCGACTTTGTGAAAGGGTGTGGTGTATCCATATTATAATCTCTAGGAACTAATTCAAGCCCAACCTGGAGAAAACAAAGGACAAAGTTTTAATGCATGAAAACAGATCTGAAGCAAAACGGGCAATATAATGTGAACCCAATCGACCATGAAGATGATTGATCAACTAATAGTACCTTATGGCAAAGACCCCGGAGGACCGCAAACTTTCTCATATCACTGCAACTGTCACTCTTAAATTTCCACCCATATCTCTTCAATAGGAAGGTTTCTACCCACTCCCACTTCAGTTTATCATCATTTGCTAAATCCTGGTCATGGCATTTAGCTGGTGGAGTTCCAAGCAACACATTCAAACAGGCAGACACTGCTCCTGCCAAATCTTCTGTTGTTTCTACTGCGGTGACAACTGCCTGTAATATATGCTTAAAGGCTCGAACAATCATCTCATGTATACAAAGAGATTGTACGTGAGGTAACTTTTCGGCAAGCTCGACCTGGGAATATGGGAATAAGACGGTATGAAAACCAAAAGGTAGGATTCATGAAATAGAAAACATTTTAGTAATGCCATTAGCTTATATGAAGACCATAAGCAAAAGTTACCAATAATAATTCATACTCAATGGTTAATTGAGAAAAATGGATCATACCAAAGTAACAACCAGTGATTAAGAGCCTAGGCTCAGGCTCGGACTGGCTGGGGTCCCAAGGCCAAGTCAGCAGCCTAACTCAGCTGAGTCAGGTCAGCAGTAAAAAATACGCAGAAAATCTGTGACTTGGTGAGCGCACTGAATTCTCAGAGTTATTTATTTGGACCCAGCACCCAGCTGGTCCGAGTGACTCGGGCAAGTTTGAGCCCGAGTCGCTCATTTTCCATTCACTGGTAATAAGACAGGATATGCTTACCACACGTCCCAATGAACACATCTGTAGACCCCTTGTATGCATAAAATCTGTTAAGGTACGTCCATCCACTGGAGACAATTCAAGGGAACCAAAATCTGATACCTGAGAAAGTATTCAAAATTCACTGTATCAATTGAGTGTTCCCCTGATGCACGGATCAGGAGGAAAGAGAGTTAAACTTACCAGCTTGGGTAAGGCAACATCGGTGTAGTATTTCTGTGCCATCTCGATTAGCTCCTCAGGTGACTGCGGTAAGCATGAAATCAGGACAAAAATTAATTACATAAAGATGAAGAGAATTCTTGAGTTCTGCAGACAAATCACATTTATACACTTATGAAGAGATGCTGTGGCCACCTAAAAAGCCACAACAAGACACAGCAAGTCCTGTAATAAATTAGAAAGGTCTCCTTGGCGTGGTATGATTTATGAAGTCTGCAATAAGGATGAACTAAATGTTATGTAATTTTTATCATCTAGATTTCTTAAAGGTTTACTTGCAACAAAATTATGACGGACGGCACAAAATCTTAGCAAGAGCTATGCCACTGAATCACAATATAGAGCAAGCTGTGCTTGCCTCTGGACATCAAATATCCTAAATATTTGAAGGCTACCTTCTCAATTAATTTGTGAAGTAGTTCAAGCAATCTGTTAGCATATGTGATGACCGTCTATATAGAAAGGTAAAGTATATTGTAATCCAATAGATTATGGAAAAACCGTTGTCCCTAGATGTCACACTGGTCAATGAAATGATGGAAAACGATGGAGAAAGAGTTGGATCTAGCAGTATAGGAAAAGACCCAATGGTGAGTACCAATCTTGCTCTATCACATGTCATCATTTCATTGAACGATGATGAACCCATTGGACTACGATAAAACATAATCAAGCTCAAGTCTGCTGTTCTTTTTTCTTTTTTTTTCTCAATGTAGCACTATGATGAGGAGAAGTTAAAAGGATTTAAGTTCTCAATGTGGTGGCTAATGTCCACGATTTGAATCCCAGCTAACCTAGAAAAACAATTGATGAAGAGAACTAGAAGTCATTTTATTTTTCTTTTTATATATTTTTTTGGGGAAAGAGAAATGGGATATGTTCAATTCAAGTAAAAGATAAATGAACAAACCTTGAGATGTAGACCAGTTTCAGATTCCTTTAGACGTGAAAATGCCGTTTCAGGAAGCAGCTGTCTCAACAGTGATCCCTTTTCAGCTTCTTGCTTCTCTAACTCCTCAGGATCAGAAGCTCCCGAAGCCTGCTTCTTTTCAGAATCCAGGCCATTCTCTTTTGAAGTTTCCTTCATTGAATCATTTTTGGTGATCTTGTTATCTGCCTTCTTTTTGATCTCCTTCAACAACCCAAGTTGCTTCCCAAGACCCTTAACAATGGGTTCAGTCTTAGTTTCTTCACTTTGCTTGGACTCTGTTTTTTTCGGTTCAGTTTTCCCTGAGGGCCGGTTTTGTAAATGTTGCACCCAACATGCTCCAAGCTCCCATCTGATACGATTTTCTTGTTTATTGCATTCTCCCCATAATTTTGCCAAGCTCTCTCCTAGAACATTTCGAACTAAGGACCTAGCAGGTATGTCTTCATTTTCTGCACCACGTGAGCGTGGAGCTCCACCAGATTGTTTATGCAGAAGCATTCTCAGGCTGAAATGTAGTTTGGAATTAGAACCACATTTATTAATCACGACGAGAGAGAGAAAGTCAAGGGAGGACTGGATGACATATGTGAGAGAGAGAGAGAGACAAAGAGAGAGAGAGAGAAAGAGAGAGGATGAGAGAGAGAGAAGTCGATAGAAATCAGGAAGAAAAATCTTCACATTGAAAACAATGAAAGCAGCTCAAATTGTCCAGATCAAAGCATTTATTTAAATGGAACTACCTATTGACATTCAAGGCATTTGCACCCCCTTCTGGCTGATCTTCAATGTCAATTTCCTGAGTTAAAGGACTTGATTCCTTGTCACTAGCAACAGGAACTTTCACGACGGCAGTGTATCCACAGTGTCTAATAACTACAACACCTAAAGTAGCAGTATCCTGCATGGCCACTACGCTGCTTCAGTACATAACTGAGAAAGAACTATCATTTGATTGTCATGTGGTGAAAATATCTAACCATCTTGGAGCAAGGGACGGTATAACAAATTTTTAATGGATTATGGAAAACCATATTCCATTGGGGTGGTCATCAACACCCAATGAAATGTTGGACACGACAAGGAGAGTGGGAGTCATCGAAATAGGGCTTGACCCTTCCCCATCATGGTCCATCATTTCAATAGATGGAGGTGAACCACATGGATTTTTTTTTTTTCCATATTCCACTGGATTATAGATATGCCTTAATTTTTGTTAAATAAAGAAACAAAGTAGTGAATATAACTGCTTACATGAACAGTCGCACTCTCATCTGCAGTGATCCCCTTAAGCAAATTCCTTTGTGCAAGCTCCTTTGCTGACATACCTGGAGCTTGGCTTCCATCAATTTTTGCTTCCAACTTTGTACTGGCATCAGGTACATCTTTTGACACTGTTATGCATAAATCACCAATTTTTTCCTCATGCAAAATCGAGTTGGGAAGACCAATTTCAGATTTATGCAAGCTTTTTTTACTATCAATGACTTTTTGGATTGCTGCAACAGCATTAAAGACTGAAACATCTACAAAGAGACTATGAAGAAGGAATGCCTTCCGATCCCTGATTTGCCTCTCCTCTACAGTTTTGCAAGGCATAGTGGCTAGAATTGAAAACTCCCTAGACCATTGCCTTAAATTGTGCTGTCCATCTCTTCCCAGTCCACCTCCATTGCCACCCCAGGTTTCATCCTCTACTGGTAATGGAGGGAACACTGATGGAGCATCAGCAACCATCGGAGGGACAACCCATGTGTTGGCTCTGTATCCATAAGGAAGGTTCCCAAACTGTCGAACGCATGGAAAACTACATAATTAGCAACCGATATGATCAAAGAGTCAATTCTTCACTTATAAAGGTCTTACAAGCTATGTGTTCGAAATTGGAGGCAATGCTCACTCTTTGAAAGAATGGCAACAGATTACTTCAACCCACCTTATTATGTTCAACAAAGGCTTTCATAAGAGACTTGTAAGCCTGCAAGCAATGCCAATGATTTAGAACTTAGAGATAACCAATTGCATAGGGACAATTAAGAATTCCTGCTAAACTTGCAAGAAAACAGGTGATATTTATTTCAGTATATATGAAAGGGTCATGCATGAAAAAGAATAGGAGTTCATTTTCTTTTTCTTTGTTTCTGATGATATCCAGTCCAATAGTGCTTGCTAATAGCATCCACCAAATTCGGGGATTGCTAGAACAAACTATATATGTAGAAGCAGGCTTAGCACATAAAGATAAAGAAACAAAGGGAGGTGTGACTACTTACTGAGTCAAAAGCCCTGCTTATTTGTTGCAATAGACCTGCCAGGGAGTGAACCTCAAGGGGCTTCTTTCCTGCTGGGTAAAAACCATTACGTGAAGCTACAATGTTTACTAGTTTCCCGCTGCAAATCTTGACCTGCACAAAACCCATTAGATTATGTATAGTTGATCAATGAGCATGGGTCTTCAATGCAGCTAGGTAGTATTAAGAAGGGAATCTTACATCAAATTGGAAAAAATCATCTTCCCGTTTATCCTCAACAAATGGACGTGTTGATTTCCTAAGGACTGCAAAATATGTTAAATACCATCTCAAATTTCAGATATATCAAACCTATTGCAATCAGAGAGCATGTATCAAATTGTTTTAAGACAAAGGATTGTTCCAACTATCAACCTGCAATAACCAGAATTCTTAACATGATACCAAATTGAACAAGGGTTTAAAAACCCAAAAATACCATCGAGTTAATTGCGAAAAGACAAAAACAAACAAGAAAGGAAAGGATTGTTGAGATTTAGATGCTCCAGCTACTTATGGACGAATAATATGTATAAAACAAAAATAAAAAGGAATTACAGGAACTGCAGGGAGAGAAAGCTTTTCAAGGGGTAAAAGCAGAGGTAACAACTAACAACCTGAAATTTGGATAGGAACACAGATGATAAAAGAAGAAAATGCAGAAAATTGATGGAATTGATGGACTTAAAGAAGCCGACTGAAATTCAATGAAGTAAACAGCAGACATCCGAGAAAATTGTCCAAGCAAATTGGGCAAACTTATGGATCTAGAAAAATCATAGTTCTACAAAAGTTACACTCAAAATGGGGTAAATTACACTCATAATTTTTCCAACTTAGTAAAAAATGACCACATTTGATGGCAAATGAAAACCCAACTCAACACCAAATTCGAATAAAAGTTTTGGCTATATTATTCCCGCTCAAATCAGGTGATGCAATTGTCCAAACATATCTCTATATTCACATTTCATAACACTAACTACCTATTAAACAACTGCAAAGAATGGAGAAAATTTGCTTACACTGAAGCGGTGGGGTGAGGTGAGAGAAGGAGAAGAACTCATAAAACTGCCCAAGCTTCGGAGGAGGGCACATTGTAGAGAAGTCTCCTTTCTCAGTGGCCTCAGTGGCAGAAGCCAAAGCCATGGAAGCCTCTGGTTTCCCCTTCCCATTGCTGCAATTTTCTTTTTTGCCCCCTAGTTTGGGCCTTGCACCCACCTCCCCATTCTCTTGGGGACCATCATTCTCCTCCGGAACCCCTTTGGAATTCTTGCTGTTGTTGTGGGCACTGATACCATTGGCCATGGCTTCCTTTTGGGTTCCATGGTTTCTTGGGTCACTGTGATTTTTAGCAGAAGAGCCAAAGGAGGTGGTGCAAGCAACAATGTCAAGGAGCCTTCTGATATGGGCAATTGCTAGCTCCTCTGTGTAGTCCTCTGCATGCAGGTTCAATTTTCAAATATTGTCAATTTTATACACTGTGGCTTATGGAAAGTACTCCATGATCCATATGACCATAGGGATAAATATTGGAAAGCTATTCCATAATCCATACGTGTGGGCTCAGCTGTATGGAGGAGTATTCTATGACCCCACACTTATCTGTCGCCATCCATTCAATGGGTGGGTGGTGATGTAGATAGATGAGGAACCTATCATTTGGTTTAAGACTTTAGCGATGGTGGGTCCAACACTTTTTAATGACTGTCTATATATTTATTTGATGGTTGACATATATGGGCCATATTGGCTCATAAAATACTATCCCATGTATAATACACGATACAATACCATACACCAAGAAGATTGTGGTATATAGTACATGAAAGGAGCATGCACCATGTCCACCCCATGATGGACGGTGAAGAGTCAATGGATTGGGAAGAAAATTCACCGTACGTGGACTGGAAGGATCGATTCAGCCACGTACTAAAACGCCAACTCACGATCATAGAGATTTGGTGGACCTCCCGTCCAAATGAACCCATTTGGACCTGCGGGTTTTGCGGCCATTTGTTGGACCTTGAAACCCACAAAGCATCTCTACAGCACTCTCTAGGATCGATTTTTTATTTCCAAAATTGATCTTAGGATGGATTTAAAAATCATCATTTGGAAATAATAATAATAAATCAACAGAAAACCCCTAAGCAGGTGCTTTGCAACCCTAAGCATGTGCTTTGCAAGTAGGTTCAAAGTGTTTTGCAAGTAGGTCCAAATGTACAATATGGATCCATGAGCCCACCATATCTTTTTATTCTATACCCACTCGAACCAATGTACCATGTACTTTGACTCATTCTATTTTTTTACAAAAAAAGATATGAGTTTATTAATAATGAATGAAGATCACATATCATCGGCAACAACCAACTCAGAGGGAGAAAACTAATTTTTTAGCTAACGTGGGTGTCAGTTATCATATTTGCCTCTATGTAGACATGTTGGAAAGAAAAAATTAACCGCGGCAGAATGTCAAAGATTTGAAGGCCCAACAATTTCAACTGTCAAGAGATACGTTGATTTTTGCTGCACGACTTGATTACGTTAAGCAAATCCCTACTTTGACTCCTTTTTAATGTTGATTTATGTTTTATAATTACCTTCAACAATGGTGAGAACGCAGGGCTTGAGGGAGATGATATCCACTGAGTCTTTCAACCTGGAACCTCGCACCTGTTCACGTACTAAGTCTATTAGCCATACTATAATGTGGATTTTATTGATATATAATCATTCTCATCATCATCATCAAAGTTTTATCCTCTTATTTTATTATACATTGATTATTGAATAGGCTACATGCAGTAATTATTTTTCAATTTATTATACATTGATTATTGAATAGGCTAAATGCAATAATTATTTTTCAATTTGATTGCGCAAGAGTCAAAGAAATACATCAAACGCTTCAAAGGTAACCAGGTTTTGAAATATTAGCCTGGATGGGACAATTTCCCAGCTCATCTTACAACAAGTGGGTGACTGGTTCGTCACTATATCAAGACTGAATCTATTCACCCCAAAATCATACTAAAAAAATAGTATAATAAAATTAATTTAAGAACTAGTTGACATTCATGAATCTTGTTTGAACTTTATAAATTTTATTTATATCTTTATTATTTTTTCTTTAATTTGGCCTAGTCAGCAGAGCTGACTCACCAATTTGGCTGGCCCCAACTCAAATCCAATTGGTAATTGATTCGACTGAGAACCGGTGAGGGACCGGTCCAACCCACAAGTCTGATTTTTTAGTGGACCATGGAGCTCGTCATTCATGTCCATGCTGTGGGGCCATATCCCGATCTCTTGAGATGAAAATGACATTGGTTACTTTGAGACCCCAGCTTATTAATTTATTAGGATTGGCATTGAGGCGTTGGTAGTTAGGGTGGCTGATGTCTCAATATAAGGTCTCACCTTTCATTCTCATCGTTAACATATAAAAATTAAAAAATTAAAATATTTAATAACATATAATAATGCACCAAAAAAACACTTCATACGTTCTTGAGAATGATAAACAAAAAATCACCCACCTATCAACACAGCAACGTGATTCTTACACAAGAAACACTTGAAATGGTGAATTTTTGTAAATGTCACTGTTGTAGAACATTTCCTTGTTTCGTTTCAACTTTTTCTTCTTTGAGGGACTTCGCAGCTAAAACCCAAGCTCCATGCTACCTACCGTTCTTGTAACTAAAGTTATGGTAGCCAGTAGCTTCAAACGGGTACCAAAAAAAAGAGTAAGGTACATAAAGAACCTGACATATTAATTATTTAATATTTTACCTAGCTTAGCTAAGAAAATATAGTTTAAAAGGTCACCATGACGCTAAAGAAGTTGTCTGGCTTTTAAATAAGGAATTTGCTGAGCTCCAAACTCTATAAAATGACGGTAGCATGTTTAATTAATTTTGTAATAATTTTCAAACGATTTGTGGCCATGGAATACTTTAAAAAAAAGGATAAGTTATTAAATTGTTGAAATGTTAGGTATATGTTGGTAGATGCCAAAATATAATCAGGGAATAGAATGTCCATCTACTCGGGCAAAACACAACTAAGTGTTAATTTTAGAACATCAGATTTTGGGGATCTAGTCTCCTCAAAGCAAAGATTAACTTCAATAAATACAAAAATAAAAAATTATAATTGCACCTCCTATGCATTGGGAAAATATAATGCCTCGAGATTCAATAGAGACCAATTAATTTTTAGATGATAAGATCAAAATATTAGAAAACTCAAATTTCAAGTTTTTTTTACTTTATTTTTAAAAAACTAATCATCTAGAAATTTTTAAGTGGTTCTCAAAATTTTAGATTCAAAAAAATCATCCAAAATAAGTCTTTTGACCGTGGAATGAAACTAAAATATGCTCCCGAAGGAGCATAGTATATGTACTCTTTATAAATTTTTCTTCGAACGAATTCAAATAAAGTAGGAAAAGAGTCGGCTTGCAACGCTGCGTCTTAATCTCAATTCCTACAAAAGGTAGGGGCCCGACCCTATAACTTACCCAAAACAAATTCAAATTCCTACGAAGGGTAGGGGCTCAATTCCTACGAAAAGGTAGGGGCTCAATTCCTTCAAAAGGGTAGCGGCCTTTCAATCCCTACAAAGGGTAGGAGCTCAATTCCTACAAAGCGTAGGGGCTCTCTCCCTAGTTACCCCAAAAAAAATTCAAATTCCTACAAAGGGTAATGGCTCAATTCCTTCAAAAGGGTAGGGGCCCTCTTCCTATTTACTCACCAAAAAAAATTTAAATTGGACCTCTCCCCATTTGACTCACCGAAAAATGAGTGTAATTGTGGGTAACCATAAACTTCCAATAAATAAATAAAAATGTTACTTTTACACCATTTTAATTGAAATCTAAATTGCAAAGTTAAAAGTGATTTTATTTGGAAGAATGTTTTTGAAAAGGTCATAGTTGGGCCATGGCTTTTAAAAGCTGCTGCTCAAATCTTGCAGCAAAAGATTGTCCCGCTATCATAAAGCCCTCAAATTGATCTTCGAGTTTGAAAATTTTATATTTAAAACAAAAATGGTTCAGCAGCCCTAAAAAATCGTGTACTTTGTAAGACATTGTTTGGTCCGTCCATTTTTCAAGTGTTTGCAAATGCTCCAGGTCTACACTCATAAATTCAAACTTTATAATGATAATACATTTTCAAGCCATTATAAAAATTTATGACATCGAAACAACATTTTATCGTAGGGATTTGACGTGCGGCTTTACTTTTGACCGTAAATTCACGATTTTATCCTAATTGGTGAGGTTTGTATAAAGCCTAATACTATAAAAGCAAGGCGAACAACTAAATTTTATCTGGGGATGCAGTTTTGATGTCGCAAACTTTATGATGGCTAGAAAATCTATATTTATCCCTAGTTATAAAAGTTCAAATTTTAAAAATATTACAGAACAAGCAAATATATTAACACTTGAAAACCTTAAAAATAGATGGTCCAAATAATTTGTTACAAGATGCAATATTTTTAAAGCTTGAAAATTTTTTTTTTTTTTTCATATCCATATATATTAAGATCGAGATGATCAAATTCAAAAGTTTTTCAATAATATAACATTTTCTTCCAGGGGGTTTTTGAAGTGCACTTACTCCAATGGTATAAAATTAACCTTATATTAATTTTTTTCTATTTTTAACTAAGAGACAAGCTAGGAATATTGCTATGGGTTCCCCACTTGAGGGGGAGCATAAAAGTTGGTGTTACAGTCGCTTAAACTTTATTAGCCGCCATTAATCTACTTTATAATACATGTTTTATTTTCTCTCAATGTGGCCCCTCCATGCTTACACTCTCCCTCTTTCCGCGTTCCTAGGACATGACATTAGTTTATGTGATTGCTTAATTTAATAAAGAATCGAGCCCTTCAAACGAGTTAAATCTGGCGATGCTTTAAACAAACGATTTTCTCGTTTTTTCGTAAATAGTAAACAAGACTCGTCCAATGCAAATTCCAAAGGAAACGATAAAACATAGGTCAAGGTCGCCTACTTTGATTCCGGCCATTGGAATCTCACACCTAGACAATGATATTTATACCCCTCAAATCAATTTCTCACTAAGGTTCTTCTTGGGCTCTTTTCCTTTTATTTTATTATTTTGTAAATTTAAGATTTCATTTTTTTTCTTTTGGACGGTCCAAATTTAAAGATCATAAACTGGCTAAGAATAGCCAATGGAAAAGGCTATGATGAAACCGGCTAGAAATGGGGTTTGTTTGGACGGTCGAGATGGATTTGATTCCAAAAACTAGTTTACAAAAAATCAGGAAAATAAAAAAAAATAAGACGGGAATTTAAAGAAAAACAAAGGGAAATTATCAAAATTATCCCTTCATTTGGGTATGAATGAGGTTTTGAAAATATTGGAGTTTATTTCTAATAAACTAAAAATAAAAGGATATTTTTTAAATTTCTTAAAAACACTTTTTTTTTTTTGAGGTCAAGAAAAAGGAGTATTGAATTTTAAGATTGATTACCTCATGAGATAGAGAGTAATTGGTGAGATGGCATGCCTCTACATTCACAGCCAACAATTTACGAACATCTAGAATCCTATCCGTCGAGATTCCCTGCAAGAACACAGAGTATGGAGATACTAATTTTAAACATCTGCTAAAACTTCAAACGAAAGGAGCAAATAAACAGGGGTGAATAAAAAAAAATAGGCATGCACCAAACACTTGGCACCCTAGAAACAGAGGAAGAAAAAAGTACTTCTACCCCCATTCTCTTGTACCTTGATGCTAAAGAAAAGGCGTTTGTGATAAATTTAAAATTTAGCCCCGAACATTTTCTCGCCAAGATTTATTCGGTACTATAGCAATTTGCTTAGAAAAAAAAGTGTTCATGTATTAACACCCTTTCAAAAAATAAAAGGTATTTTGGTAATTTTACTGTCATACCCCCAAAAGAAGTTGAAGACTCCCGTACTATTTTTCCCTTTATAAGGGAAAAGCCAAGTTTGTACGCTCCATATCATAAAATTACCATTAAAACTTTTTCCTTAGGGATTTTCATTGTACATAATTGTAAACATTTTGCTGTGGTCTCAATCAAGTTTTCAGAATGGACCACAGCAAAAAGGTTTGCAATCTAACAATAATGTCATTTCTCTTTTGGGTTGGTATCTGATAACAAAACTAAGTACTCAATGAATAAATGCGGATGTGGATTGTCGAGCTAAACGGGTTGGTCTAGACCCTCTCAGCCCGCTCGTTTGCCTTTTTTATTTTATTTATTTTTTCTCTTTTCTTTTTCTTTTTTTCTTTTGCGAATGTAACCTCAATGAAATTTGCGCAACGATTCAGAAAAAAAAAAAAGCAATAAATGAACAAAAATCAATCCAATAATAAAAATAAGCAAATAAATGTAAAAACAATAAAAAAGTATCGGCCAAAGTTCGGTACCTTTAGTGTAACGTGAGTATCATCAGGTGTATTGACAGTGATGTCCAGAACAGTAGGCAAGACTGCAAAAAAGAGAAGAAAAGAAAAAGCAATAAGTCATGTTTCAACTTCTTCTTGTTTTCATCTAAATTTCGAAAATGATAAGCAAAAAAGAAAAGGAAAACGAATGCATTTTTCTTACAGTAAATGGAAAACAAAAAATAGAACTAGAAACATACTTACTCTTCTCTTCCTTCTTCTTTTTCTCTCCTTTTGTTTTGTGTTGCTTTGCTTTTCCTGTTTTTGGAGCCATGAAAACTCTCTCTCTCTCTCTCTCTCTCTCTCTCTCTCTCTTCCTGTCCCTCTTTTAACCTCTGTACTTTGAGGCCTTTTGCGTTTATTGTCAAATTTAGCAATCTGCTAAATCCTTTGGTAGATTCGAGCTTCGGATTAATCTATGTCGATGCGAGAAGATAGCTCGACCGGATTGATACGGCAGCTGCTAAAAAAAACGAACTCTTCTCCAAAAATTTGAGCTCAAATTAACATCAATCATCGATTTATTCATCCAATCCTCAAAACGAAGTCTCGACAATGCAGGAACCGCTTATTTCTTCGAAAAATTGATAAAAAACAGTAGAAATTCAGCTAATAAGAGCATCTTCATCTCTGAAACAGAAATGGAACTTCATCCCTCTTTTTTCGATCCAAATCTGGCCTACTTTGCAATGCTAAAGCTTATTTCTTATTGAATCAAGAAACAATGGCACAAAAAAACTTGGACAAGGAGGGAATTAAAGTACAATCTGGTCCTTGAATCGCTTATTTCTTGGAATTTGAGGAAAGAATCGGAGGGGAAAAGGTTCCTCTGAGAGATGTAAAAGAAGAGCGGTGTTTCATTTATAGTGAAGGAGAAGGGAAACGCTTAAAAGGATGAGAGATAGGGGGAAGAGAGAGAAAGAGATTGAGGGGAGTCTGAAAAGGAGATGATAATAAGGTTTTTTAAGGATAGGATAAGGTGCTCCTTACATAGAACGTGAGGCTGAGAGATTTCAGGCCTCTCGTTCGTCGTCGAAAGAAGATTTGAGTTTTTTCTTTGATTCTTCAGTTCCTGCCAAATCCCGTGCCCTATATCACATCTCCCTTTCTCTCTCTAGAAATCGTTTGTTTCTCTCTCTCTATCGCTTACAACAATGTTACCCAATAATACGCCTATTTATTACACGACAAGTACCATAATTTCAGAGTGAGTGTGGTCTGCACCGCTTTGCCACACACACTCGTCTCTCTCTCTCTCTCTCTCTCACATTCTCTCTCTCTCTCTCTCTCAACATTTTCTCTCTCCTCTCTCTCTATAAATCTTCCGAAATTCATCCTTTCTCTCTCCTCTCCTTCTCTCTCAACATTTTCTCTCTCCTCTCCTCCTCTCTATATATCTTCCGAAATTCAACATTTGGCTCTCTCCTCTCTCTCACATTCTCTCTCCTTTATTTAAATTTGGACTCTCTCCTCTCTCTTACGCTCTCTCCCCCTCTCGCTCTCTCTCTCTCTAAGTCCTTTTCACCGCAAGTTCTCCCACACTGCTGAGGAGTGTCAAGTTGTCCCCAATAACGCTCTCGATAATTATTGTAATGCCCTCAACCCACTTTTTCCTATATTAACACTGTACTTTTCAAAACCGGACTGGACAGTTAGTTGAACCGCCAACTAGTATTTTCACTCCTACGATTCAAAGCAAAAACCGGATTTTGTATATATAAATAAATATCAAAATCAGTATTTGACCAACCAGTTTTAACCATCCAAATAAAGTGCACAACTGTTTTTTTTTACAATATTACATGTTTTTAAAATGGGCGTAGTTTTTATAAGGTTGCAACCTTAAACAATCCAATTAAGGCACACATCCAAATCTTATTATAACATGTAATTTTTGTGTAAAAAATTCTTAAGATTATGTAAAAATCTATTTTCATATCTAATTATAAAATTTAAAAATCTAAAATAGTTAAAATCAAGTTGATCTATAAATATATGAAAATCTTGAAAATTGACGGTCTAAATAATGTGTTGCAAGATGCACTATTTTTGGAACTTTTAATATTTTTTTTCATAATCATACATCTCGATGTCGAGATGATCAATTAGAGGTTTTTCAATATTGAAACAACATTCTCCAATGGATTTTTGAGGTGCATCTGTAATTCTACAAGGTTGCAACCTTATATAAACTTTTCCCTTTTAAAATATAGTTATATTTTTAAAATCAAGTCAAACCAGTTCGACCGACGGTCAGATGAGTTTTGTATTATAGACCAAACTCCACAACGGTTCGGTTGCCGATCTGATCTTGACAACACTGATCAATTGTGATCATCATTCTTTAAAACACGAGATGGAGATGGTCAGCTCTGATCTTGGTCAGCTAGTTTGGACGATTTAAAAAAGGAAATAAAAGGAAATAGAAAACGTAAAACTTGTGAAAATTCGGTTCTTCTAAAATTTTAAAGAAGATTAAAGATCCTGAAAAGTAATTTTTATTACGTAAAAAAATATGATTTTGGGATGAATTGGTCCGAGTCCCGAACCAGTCAATGGCCCAAACCAGTCACCCACTAGTTGTGATCTGTCTAGTTTTTTAAACCCACGGCACCAAAAGGTCCCTCGACCTTCTAAGTTCTAGGCTCATAAGAATTGAGTCCTATGGCCTTTGTTGGATTTTTTATGGATCATATCATGGTTATCAAGACTGGACCTGATCGGCTGTTGGACTGTTAAACTAATGCTTTGGTCAGCCTAGTCAAATGTAGAAATTGAATTTAGTAAAAAAAATTAATGATGATCGATTTTGCCATTCTGATTAGCTAGCTTAGATAATTTCGACCGGCCAAAAACAGTTGAGAAATTTTCTTCCTAATATATTTCTCTTTAAAATTATTATTTATAACTTTATGTACATTTCTAAATTTGTCAAAGTAGTTTAAATGGTAATCAAACTCCCTAACCCCTTAAATTCAGCGACTGTGCAACAAGTTTATGCGTTGATGAATGGGGTTCCTACTGTCTTTTTTGAAAAAGATTGGGGGTTTTATTTTTATTTTTACAATAAATGATTGGGAAATTTAAATTCGAATATGAGAATTTCACGATTTTTGATATGTTGATGCATGCTTTAGAAACGCACGGGATGCATATAGCACATGACATCGCGCGGATGTGGGGTGCACATAACATATGCCATGCATGTACTACAAAAATAATTACACATGGCATCATGTACTACAAAACCATATTTAAGATCCCACGTGTCACGACAGGGATTGTGTTGAGGCTTTACCTGGTCCATGTTCAACTTATTTCTGCACCTTATGGGTATGGCTTATATAAGGTTGTGACCTTGAACAATCAAAGTACGGCGTACCTCTAGATAATGTCCAAAGACAATTTTTTAGTAGCAAAATTTTTTGTGATGGCTTGAAATTTTGTTTTCATTTCTAATTATGAAATTTAAAGTTATAAAAAAATAAAAAATTTATATAAAGTGTAAACTTTATAATCTATAAGGTACACTCAAACAAAGTTTTTCCTATGACCCTGAAATCGATCATCTCACTTTGAGGATTAAGAGATATGAAAAAAAAAGGGTGACTTTTAGTCCTAAAATTTTTTTTTTTAATATATTATATAGACCGTCTATTTTCAAGATTTTCAAGTGTTCATAGATCTGGTTGATCATCACCATTTCTAAAACTTTAAATTTTATAATTGGAGGCAGCAATAATTTTTCATATCATCACACGATTTTGCAGCACCGAAATTGTATTTTTGTCATAGTTTTGAGGTGCACCTTACTTCAATAGTATAAGGTTAACTTTATACAAATCTCATCTTTTAAAAATAATGTAGATCGAGTAGATCTATAAACACTTCAAAATAGAAAGTCTAGCTAATACCTTACAAGATACATCATACACTAATTCCCATACTATTTTTTTTTTTCTATATTTATACATTTTGAGATGATCGATTTGAGGGTATTTCAACATCGAAACAACCTCTTCTAGTGATTTTTTTAGGTGCACCTTCATTTAAATGTTTAATACCTTAAGCTTATATAAACTTTTTCTTAACCTCATGGATGGAAGAAATCTGAAAAGATTGTCTATTCTCGTAGGATAATGCACATCTGATCCCTCCCGTTAGGAGTATTTTTTGGACATCAAATTCGGGGATGTGACCTCCACAATATAGCTGCCAATTTTTTTATTTTATTTTTTAAAGGAAAAAAACTTAGTGAAATTTTTTTCATAATGGTCTAATTTTTCAAAAATTTATACAAAGGTCCCACTTTTTTGCTTCTTTTTTTCTTTTTTTTTTTCTTTTTTTCTTTTTTTTTTTTTTTCAATTATGTCCCATGCAGTATGGCACAACTTTTTATTTTAATTTGAAAATTTACATATAGACACATTTGTGCCCTTTTATTATGGCATATGCCAATATTTGTAAAAATTACACGGAGATCACCCCCACCCTGCAGTCATTTTTTTCTTAGAATTGCCCACTTACCCAACATTTTCAACACCGAACAGTTGGGGAATCTCACATTTTTTCTATTTTTATCTTACTTAGTGTCTATCGGATATTAGGAGCACCAAACAACATTAATGTCCGGTGTTTCTAATGTTGGACAACGCAACTATTGAAGTTTTTTTGAAGCTATAAATATCGAACTTATTATTATTTAGATTCTTACTATTTAATTAGTATCATATAAATATGTAATTTATTTAATTTTATCTATTTATTACTATTTGTATTTGTATATGTTTTATTTTTCAATAAATTTTCCTCCTACAGCTTAGGGAGTTAAGGCTGTCTGACATTAGAAACACTGAAAAGTATATTGATATTAGACAAACCATGAATAAGAGAAAAATAGAAAACTTGCATTTCCTTTACCAAACGACCGGTGTTGAAAATGTTGGACAAGTGACAAATTCTAAAAAAAAAGGCCATGTATTGAGGTGGTCTTTGCATAATTTTCACAAAAAATTGCTTCATACTGTAATAAAGGGACGAGAATGTGCAATACGGAAATTTTCCTTTTAAATTTTTTATTTTCTTGAATTCTATCGCTATCCTAGAGCCCAAAGGTCAATTTTAGATAAGCCCGATGCTTGAAACATTGGATTGCCCTGAAGCTGTGTTGTTTGATATTAGAAACATTGGACTACTCCATTGTAGTCCTTGTACCCTATTTTTGGGTTGTCAGATTAATTAAGCATTGGACCAAGCAGCCCCCCGCCCTTTATTATTATTATTTTTCTAATTTCAGTCAAACGCATTCTAATGATTACACTATTGGATTGGCATTTTTTTTTGTTAAAGAAGTAGTTCGATGTTTGAGATATGGGACTGCGTTTGGCTTTTTTTTTTTTTTTTTTGTGTTGAGCGGGAAGATCACCTTTCATCCCAAATTCAGACTGCTCGTTTAACAAGAAAGAAAAATTTATTAAAATACCCATAAGATATGAATTATTTAAGATTCTATTAATTTGCAACTATTCCAACTAAAGACTTTGTTTTTTAAGATTTACTATGAAATTAAGTCAAAATATGTGGGTAAGTTTTTAAACTATTCATCTCTCATAAGTAATTTGATAAATTTTCCATTTAAAGAAAATAAAAAGCTACTTAGGGCGGTCCACCCTAAGTAGCATGTTGCAACCATCGGATCGCGTTGAGATGAAATATGAAAAATAAAAAAAGGCAAAAATTTAAGACCTCTACATAAAAGTAACGGAAGAATTTGACCACTACCTAACACAGTTTTCCGATTTGGAAGTTAATTTGTCAAAAGAAAATTGCACACCACAAAAGAACTCATATATAGGATTGAATAGAGACCACTCGAACCTAGGTGTATTAGAATTCAAATTCCTCTATGTTTTCTTTGCATGAGGTTTTTATAAGGCTTAGGCTAAAGCTTGACCTCAAATTCTCATATGGAAAGTACTTCTAGTAATGATAAATAAATTTTTAACACCGACAATAAAATTCGAAACTAAAAAAATGGTACAGATTTTGCGAATCAATAAACACTTATTTTTGGAGAAAAATAAGTAGTCTAAATTATTTATTATAATATAAGTTATTTTT